TCTCTCTCTCTCTCTCTCTCTCTCTCTTTCTTTCTTTCTTTCTTTCTTTCTTTCCCTCCTTCTTTCTCTTTCACAGTACTGAAGGTTGAACCCAGGCTCAGCAGCAGATTCCCAGCTATTTTCCTTGTTTGTTTTTCGTTTGTTTATATTTTGCATGAAACCTGCTTCCTGTGCTGGTTCTCGTGTTTCTCCTCCGTGGTCTGTGCCCTGCATTTGCTAAATTACTTAGTTGCCCAGGCTGGACTCAAACTTTGGATCTTCCTGCCTCAGTTTCCCACAGTGCTGGGATTACAGGTGTGGGTCAACATGCCTGCTCCCCATTCCACCTTCACCTCCATGTCATCCTCCCTCAGCCCTACACGTAAGACCTACACACCTGAGACCTACACGGGACCTACATATCTGAGACTTCATGTGATGACAGGCTATGAGGTGTTGTCTCCTGGCTGGAGGGTGGGGTGTTGAGGGCCCCCATGACAGCAGAGATGTTAAGCATGGCTGGAACCATTGTTCTTGGCTGATTGTACCTGAAGCCTGAGAGCAGATGAACCCCATCCTTCAAATCAGCCTCCAGGGCGAGGCAGCCTTCTCTCTCCCTGCTGTTTGGCTCCTGAGGATGCCTTCTTCCAGGTCCTGCTGAAAGTCCACAGTGGAGTTCTGGGTCAGGCCAGGTGCAGGAAGCAGAAAGAAATCGGGTGGAGGAGAGCAGTAGGAATGGCAGGTGGATGTAGTGGGGAGGAGGCAGATGCTGAGAGGTGTCGGGGCCTCCAACTACCTGGGCTGCCTGGGCTTTGCACAGTCGGTCACCTTTTGCCTTGTCTTCTTTTCTTATTTCCTCCATGTGTTTTGGTCATGATCAGTGGCGCCTCTAGAGGGTAATCGGTAATTGCATCATGGAGAAGCCAGGTGAAAGTCAAAGCAGAACTGGGCTGCTTGGGAGGGGAGCGCCCTGCCATCCCAAGTCAGGAGCTTGCTCCCTTCCTGGGGCCTGAAAGCTGCCTAGTTCAGTTTTCCACAGTTGGGTGTCTGCAGAAAAAGCAAGACGCTGCTTGCTCCACACCTTGAAAGTCAGAATCCCTGGGTCCGCTCTGATGGTGGCCAGGGCAGTTACCCTCAGACACTGCCCACGCTGGAACAGAAAACCATGACCTGGGGTTTTCCCAGAGTCACCTGCATGCATGCACATGAGGCTTGGGGCACCTGCTGTTCCGTGGTCTGCGGCCTGTGAGTGGCCGAGCCCCTCTCTTTCAGTGCATGGTGTATGAATTATGCTCTCCTGTTCAGGTGCATCATGGGAAAGCTTCATTTGAGCACCTCTTCTACCTTTTCCCCCAGTAGCTCGCTTGCTTTGTTCAGGAATGCCTCGGCCTTGTTGATTTGATGGTTTCTGCTTGCCCTCATCCTATGCAGACCTCTGCCTTTCACCTGGGCTAGCTGGGTCTGGCCTTCAGGGAGGACCCCTGCCTTCCTCAGCTCTGCCCACGGTGCTCTTTCTGATCTCTCCTGCCTAGTGGCAGCTCCAGTTACTTTGATGCCTCAGCTTCATTATGGCACTGGAAGTCCTTCAGATGGGCACAGGCTTTGCAGTGCTCATGGCCAGAGTCAGAGGGGTGGCACCCAGGACCCTAGAGTGTGGGCCATTGCAGGAGCTTCTGAGGTCCACATGAATAATGGCCTGAGTTCCTGACGTGAAAGGAAGCCCACGCCTCCTCCTACTCACACCCCAGCCTCTGCCTTTACCTGGCAGCTCCCTGCAGAAGACAAGCATTTTTCTTTTACATGGTTAGCCAGCGAGGCGCTGTCAGCACAATGACAGACCACCTAGATCTCAAGAGCAGGTCACAGCAAGGGGAGTGATTGGGCCCTGGGGTCAGGTGGAATGCTGGGATGGAGAACATCTGGTCAAGAGCGGGGCTTGAAGACCACGACTTGTGCCACTGCCAGATTACACCTGCAGTTGCTTACCCTATGCCTGTTGGCCATTGACAGGGATTTTATTCAGTGAGGCCCCCAGCTTGGATTGCACACAGGAGCTGCAGGGGTAGCAGAGATGGGACTTTGCCTTTGGTAGTGAACCGTGGGCGGAGTTGAGGATGACCAGGTCATGGCCTGAGGGGTGGGGATTGGTACAGCCTGCTCCCTGAATGTGAGCCCTCCTGGGCCTAGTGGGCTTTTGCTCTGAGTGAGACGGTGTCACTGTGCCTTCGGTGGGCAGATACGCCCTCCTCTGTCTCATGTCTCACTGCTGCGGTGTCTGCCGACTCCAAGACAGCCCAAGTAGAGGGCCTAGTCCTGAGCAGCTGCCAGGGACACAGCCCCCGAGTTGCCTGTTGCGCCCCCTGTTGGGGATGCCGGCTTTACGGAGGGAAGTGCCAATCCTGTGGAATGACCAAGTAAGTCCGGCTGGCATAAGTTTGAGAACAAAAGGACAAAGCTTTGTAGAATGGAATTATGGGGGTGGGGGTAGAGACAGTGAGAAAGCCAAAAGGGGGCTGTGATGATCAGTCTGGCTCCCCTCTTCCTCTGGCTCCGTCTGTCTCCCTTCTGTGGTCGCCTTCCTACATGAAGACTCTTCCTCACCACTACACACCTGACAACCAGCCCTGCACGCCCTCCAGGCTGGTCTCACCTCTCCAGACCCCTCTCCCGCCCCCACTCTTTTTCCAGCCCTTCCCCATTGCACCCACATCTGCCTCACGCTCGGTCACCTCCCCCATCTGCTTGTCCCACATCTGGCACCTGCCTACCGGATTTGGTTGGCATGCCAGGATTTCTCTTATAGATCTTAGCAAATTTTTTCCTAGGTGAGGTCAGTTTGCTACCAAAATCCATTTGTTGTTCTCCTAGGCTCTCCCACCCCCTCCTTCCTGCTGAACCATGGGGAGGGGGTACCACTTGGTCCCAGCG